CTTTATTATATCGGGTTTCTTGTAGCCTTTCTTCACATATGTAACATCTTATGGCAGACTTATGTGTTCGCCAATCTCGCTCTGTCATTTTTATTTTTTCAGGGGTTCGCAACTTCGGCTTGATAATTTCTTCTAAATCCCGTTGCATACTCTCCCATGATTCTGCAATCGAGTTCGGGGTTCGCCTGACAACTTCTTTCGCAAGCTTCCCATCTGTTTGAATTAAAGTATAGCCGTAACTATTAGGCTTCTGCTTCTGTAGTTTAACGGTTTTTTCATTGATAATGTTATTCTCTATCAGATCACTATCTGCTTCTAGATCTTTAACGAAATAAAATGGAACATTTTCCATAGCCCCATAGTTTTTGAATTTCATGATATGCATCCCCTTTTCGGGGAATATTTCTCTTTGACCTGCATTAGGATTATTTCGTCCATGACAATTGTGCTCTATGTGTTCTTGGAGCAAATCTAATCTTGAGAATGGTGCAATCATGCAGTGACGACAGAAATATTTTTGCCCATGATGCTTATTCCAAGTTCGCATGATCCGATTCCATCCATTTTCACCATTGATAAGACAGTAATGCGTATTTAACCCTTCTGGTATATCATTAATATTACGACGATCTCTCAAGTCTTCCTCCCCTTCAGTAAATAATATTAAATCTACCATGTTTCCTCTTTGATAGTTATACTCTGATATGCGGAGTGGGTCTAACATTCTAGTTTTTTGCTCTTTGTCATTTTTTGCTGGCGCTGGATAGAACACATTTATTGCATAATCTGGATTATTTTCTTCGAATGTGTCTATATCTCGCAATGTGACTGGAAAAACTATACCGGTGAAATCTAATACATTATCAAAGCGTCTTAATCTACTAACATCATGAAGATTTCTTGCTCTAGTTCCCTGTCTACGGGCCTCTTCACTTGCTAGGTAAGCCTTTAAACAGACTTCGAAACATCTTTCATCTGTATTTTGTGGATTAATTATTCCTAGCTGAGGCTTGGCCCATATTTTTGGTAATGTGAAATGTGAACGACCTCAGAGTGGCTGGTATGCACTTATTTCGAGAAAGATCTTTTTTCCATATTCATATATCCAGCCAGAATGTTGATTTTGCTTCATTTCATCGATTTTATCCAAAATTTCATTGTATTGTCATGAGATTGTTTGGTCTATTAGATCCTGGCGAATAATATCCAAAATTTCACTTGGAAAAGCTATGTCTTGATCTAATCGTTGAGTATGAAATCTTCCTACTGCTACAATCCGATACATATGGGCTATGAGAACTATCTTTGTTTTAACTCCTCCTAATCGTGCTAATTCCCTTCTATAAACATCACTAATTTGATCTTTTACATCCTCGAATGTGGTTAAAGGATCTTCTCAATAGGGGTAATTCTCTGGAATAATAGCGAGATGATCGACACATAAGCTTTGATCAGAAATTCTTCTAGTTTCTACTACTCTTTTCGAAGCTGGATCTTCTATACTTCGAAATATTATTTTATCTTCTTCAAGTTCGAATTCGTTATCAGATTCAGAATCTGATATATCCCCTTCATCGGCGGTCTCGTAGTCGCTGTCCCCATCAGACTCCACCTCTGGCTCTACTTCTGGTACTGGTGGCTCAGAAGGCTTGAATAACTCGGGTGGTGTCGGATCTCCTCAGAGATTTCTGAATAATCATCCTAATGCACCGGTGATACTACCTAGTATTCCACTCATTTTTTCTCAAAGAGTATATATGGTTACAAAAAGTTTAAAATAAAAATTAATTTATTCGGATAATTAGAGTTACATATTTATTCAAAAAGAAAAGACTATTGGAATGGGATTTTATAAATGTCCATATATTCTTAGGACTGGAGAAGTGTGCAATGAGGGGTGCTATCGGCCAGAAGGGTGTAAAATTCATTGGAAGTCTCCTAGGCGGGTTCCCTGTATAGAATGCGGAAAATTAACTTCCTCTGTTTATAGTGCTTGTAGGAAACATGCAGGCAAATATCGCATTCGAGATTTTTATCAACGTCAGAAGCTTGCAAAAATTCAGGCTAGTGACGGGCTAGTGATGGGCTAGTGCTGAGGAAGTTCTGGGAATGTTCTTGGAACCCAATATGTATGTCTTTTTATCACATAATTTTTTTTCAAGTTTTGCGTACATGCTCCGCTTCGCTCCGCAGAGTGTGGACACTATTTGCTTTCATATCTTGTATACATGCTCCGCTTCGCTCCGCAGAGTGTGAACACTATTTGCTTTCATATCTTGTGTACATGCTCCGCTTCGCTCCGCAGAGTGTGGACACTATTTGCCCACTTATTGACACCCATATTTGCCTCATATAATAGCATACATTAAATAAGATAGCATATGGGTCGGGGATAATAGCATCTATATTCGCTTCGCCTTAAAGGGCTTTGCTCATATTCCTGCTATTATCCCCTCCCGTCGAATGCGTATTCATAGGCGTCGCCCTAAAGGGCTTTGCCTACTCATACTTATTCTCCTATATCGAACGCGCATTCGTCATCGCTCTGCTCCTCCTCATGCTTGTTCTCTCTTGCTATCTAAGTAGTATGCTATTGGGAGGCAATTTGAATAAAATATATGCGAAAAACTTATGTTAACCAGAATGAGAACCAAAAGGTTTCGGACTTGAATGTGCCAAAGTGGAAATTTATTTTTACATATAGGAAGCAAACGTTAACAGAGCGAATACCAAACAAGAAAGCAAAATGATTTCCTTAAGGTTACAAGTATGAAAACAAAGGGAATACGCTATGAGAATAATTTTTTGATACCTAGGAAAACCTTCTGGACGCATTTGGACTTTTTGTGCCAAAAAGCCCATTATTATACTACTCATATGATTTTCTAGTTTAACCAAAAAATCATTCAAACTATCTTCTTGAGTTGTCTTTAACTACTTGATAGATTTGTTAATAGATTCTATTTACTGCTCAACAAATTTTTGTTAATTTTGTATCAATGTCGCTAAATTAGAAATGTTTTTATGAACCCTTCCAATTCAGGTTTATTTTTGTTAGTTATTATATTAAGACTTGTTAACATTACAGGTATTGTTTTCTCTATTATTGATAGTGAATTGATTCGTATTTCTAAAGAACATAAACTATTGGATATATTAGAAAGAAAAGTTGTTGCATTTATTTTTTAAATTATATTTTTTTTTTAGATTGTGAAAAGAAAAAAAATATTTGTATTTTTTTTCAGATCGTGAGAAGAAAAAAAAATATTTGTATTTTTTTTCAGATCGTGGGAAGAAAAAATTTTTTTTTTCAAATCGTGAGAAAAAAAATAAGATCACGGAATAAAAAGTACATTTATATTAAAATAGTCTTTTATATTATCATATGTTAAAGTTTAATACAATACAAAGTAAAATCTACAATATAAAACAACAATAAAGTTTCAAACATTATTTATTACCAAAATAGAAAGTATTGATATGCTCGCAGCTATATTATTACATTATAATCATAAGCTTTTACATTAATTAATTTTTTATAAATAAATACATTTTTTTAATTTTTTTTATAACAATTTTAATTTAATTCTTGTTTAATTATTGAATCATGAAAATTTATTATAAATACTTGACTATACCATTGCAAGAAGTATAAGGGTACAGTTGTATCAAAAAAGATATTTCAACGACACTCAATAAATAAAGAAAATCTTCAACATAATTCTTATATCAAACTTAAGCAAAAAACTACAGAAAAAAATAATTATGAACATTTCGATATTTATTCAAATCAATTATCACATACTTTGCCTTTACTAAATAAATCTACAATTCTATCTAATAATGAAATCATTATTTCACATAATACAAAAAAAACAAACTGTTCTTTTAATATCTATTCAAAAAAGTGATTTGTTTAATATATTAGATTCTTCAGAAATTGATTTTGAATATGATGAAAATTTTATCGAAATGATAACAAATTATACAATTCTTAGTAAGGAGCATCAAAATCATTCTGATGAAATTGGTTCAGATCATTCAGATCATGAGAGTTTGGATGAAGAACATTATATAATGAAAACTAATTATGATCCTATTAATATTGATCATAACCTTTCAATTCTTAATACAAACAAAACAACAAGATGGACAATTTTATGGATTTATCTCTTTTAAGAAATATTTATGTTACTACAAACTGCAAATGCTATATTACTAGATTTTTTTAAAAATTGTTACAATCATTTGATAAAGAAACATTTTCCAATTTTCCATCAACTATATATTGTGCTGATCAATCACTTGGGATTGAACTGGAATATGAAAATTATATTATTTGTCTTCAATGTCATTATCTTTATTCAATAAATATTCTTAATAATCAAGATGAATGTATTAAATGTGTATGCAATGAACTAATTACAAAAATGGTACGAACATCTAAAGGAAATAAATTAATTAAAGTTAAGTTAATAATTTTATAAAAATTTTAAAAATTACTATTATTTTATTAATTAAAAATTTAACTAATGTTTAACATAATTTATAATAGCCAATCAAAATTTATCTATATCATTCAGTAATTTGTCAATTAGGAATACTTTTATTAAAGCCAGAAATGGAAGATTTAATAGAATCTTGTTTTAATCGCGAAATTGAAGATAATATATTTGCTGATATATATGAAGGAAGGGTTTAGAAGACATTTACTAATTCTAATAATCAGCCATTTTTTGTCAAAAATGCTTTAGAAGTTCATATTGGATTTGCTTTAAATTTAGATTAATTTAATCCTTGTAAGCATATCCAATGTTCTATTGGAGTAATATACTTAACAATATTGAATTTACCATGCCATATACAATTTTGTGAAGAAAATACTTTTGTTGTTAGAATAATACCTGGTTCTCATGGGCCAGATGTAAACGAAATACATCAATATATCGAACCTTTAGTTAATAAGCTTCTTCAATTATAGGCTGGACAAATTATAAAATCACCTAACTATCCAATTGGTAGAATTTATCATACAGCTTTAATTATGATTTCATGTAATACTTCTGCAGTACGAAAGGTAATAACATTTTTAAATTTAATATTTTCATTATGTATTATAATTATTTATTTAATTATAAGATCAGAGGATTTTCAAGTCATTCTTCTAAAAGGGTTGCTATAGATGTGATCATACTTATCCTATGATTCAAAATAATAATACAGGTCATTGGAAACCAAATTTTGGCAACTTTAATACTGATCTTCCACAACGTTCAAGAGAAAAGCATCAAAATATTGCCTACAATTTTAAGAAATCAAATTCTACAATTCATAATCAAATTTTTGCTGAACATAGTGTTTATTGAACACCCTTAATATTACTTCCTTATATGGACATTCAGCAGTTTACTATTATAGATCCTATACATAATTTATATTTAGGTACTGCAAAACGATTAATGAAAAAATAGACTTTCAGAGATCAACTATTAATTTCTATATATGACCTTAAAAGAATACAAAGCATAATTGATAATACATCTCCTCCATTAGACATAGATCGAATACCTCTTAAAATAGCATCGAGATTTGCTGGATTTACAGCAGATCAATGGAAATCCTGGTGTTTAATTTACTCAACTTTGGTTTTACGAGATATTCTTCCTGAAGTCCATCGAAATTATTGGCAGTCATTTGTTGACTGTCTTTCACTTTAGGAACAAACTATAATCAGTTGCAAGAAAATAGAAGATGGAGATTTGGCAATAAAAGATTTTTTATATAAATTGGAAAATGTTTGGGGATCTAAAATTGCAACACCAAACATGCATATGCATTTGTATATTAAGGATTGTTTGTTAGATTATGGACCCTCTATAGTTTTTGGTATTTTCCCTTTGAAAGACTTAACGGGTAAGTAATGAATTATTATGAATATACACATTTAATTTTGATTTACTCAATTTATACTATAAATGCTGTTATTTAGATATTTAGCATCAATTCCAAATTCAGGAAGAAGCTTCACTATAGAAGTGATGAATGTTATTACTTAACAATTTATATTATAGCATACAATGTCGATTGCAAAATCTTTCTTTTCAGATCAAATTATTGAATCTTTTATGAAGCTACGATCATTTTAATAGGAATAAGAGAATAATGGCAAGATACAATTTTACTATTCAAGAAGCTTTGTATTTTAGAAACTTACCCTTTCAGATAATACAAACAAACATAAATGGTTGTGAGTTAATTCCTGGTGAATTTTTAGCACCTATATACGAAATGATAGCACTGGTTGTGAGTTAATTCCTGGTGAATTTTTAGCATCTATATACGAAATGATAGCAGATAAACTTCTAATTGATTGTTTAGTCAGATATTATGAACGGATTTATGCTAATATTAGATACATATTTTATTCTGGAGTTGAACGACAAAATAATAATTCAATATTTGTATCATCTATAATAATACATGCATCTGCTTTTCACATTGCTGATGAACGATTTGGATCACAATTATGTCGTTCTGAACTTGCTGCTAACATAATGGTTACATTTCTAGATGAAAATGATTATATAGAGTATTGGCCAGCAACAATCCGTTATTTTTTTAAACATTCAATTCTATTACCAGAAGGGCATGCAGAACATATATTAGCTTTTGTTGATTGGTATGGAAAGTATAATAAAAAAGATTATTTTAATATTCTGCGATGTAAAATACTTGATGAAGCTGTACAAAATGGTATGAAGCATGTTGAATTATGAAGACCTTTGACCAAAAAGATTTCACATGAAAGTATTATACCAGTTCAACGAATTGTATGTCAATTTATGAAAGCAAATTATCACCCTCAAAATAGTCAGATAGACTCAATAGCTATAATACCATTAAATAGAAGGTTTTCAATCTAGCTATATTTATGTGAATCTTTATTGCATGTATAATTATTGCTTATATTAGCTTAGGCTTTCTATTAATTAAAAGAATAAATAATTTATAAATTGGATGTAAATTTTTAAAAATACAAGTAATTTTATACAAGCTTGTATATCATCAATCAACATTTCCTAATCGCACTTAAAAATAATAAAATGTATCAGTAATTTCTGAATTATAAATTTATTGTATATCACATCACTTCAACCAGTGAATATTATTACACAATAATATTATTTTCATTCATTTATTAAGTAAAGAATCTGTTAAAATATATAAATGATTTGAAATTACTTTTGCTTTTGTTAAAGCTAAAGAATATTTATTTTTTTTAATTCTAATTAATTGAGTAGTCATAATGTTGATTTCTAAAAAAAAAATTGTTTTAAAAAAAAAAATACAAATTTATAGTTTTATCTCACTATAAATTGTATTAAGAAAGAAAAAAATAAAATAAATACAAGATTCAGCTTTATTTCACTGAAAATTGCATCTATTTATATAAAAGAGCTTGTATAAAAGAAATAATCTGATCCCAAAACTATAAAAAGATTATTCCTATACTTTGGACTCTATTCAAATAAATTATGAATTAAAAGTCTTTAAATAAAAATTTTTGAAAAAATTGATTTTACTATTTTAGTATAATAATTTATAAATGCCTTACTGAATTGATATTGTAACAGCCTAAAATTCTAGAAAAAAAATAATTAGTAATCTTTAAATACTCTTACTGAACTGATATCACAATAGCCTGAAATTTTAGAAAAAAAATAATTAGTAATCTCTAAATGCTTTTACTGAACTGATACCATGATAGCTTGAAATTCTAAAAAAAAATAATTAGTCATATAAAAAAGGTATAAATTAATTATTAATTATTTAACCAACTTAACTAACTTATTTAATTCTTAAAACTAATCTATACTAAAGAAAGGAAGAAATAATAATAACCCAATATAATTTAGCAAGCTAAAAAAAGACTACTAAACTAACTAATTATTAACGAAAATAAATGATCTAATGTTATGTAAACAAATCTTATTTTTTAAAGATAAATAAACTGGTATATTTTAAATCGATCGATTTATTGATCGATTTATTTTCCTTTTTTTCAATTGATTCTTTTTTTTATTTAATTTTTAATTTCTACACCTTTACTTTTTTATTTTATTTTATTTTTATTTTCCTTACCACCCTTCGAAATATTTTTTTTTATTATAATTTTTGTTTTTTTTTAATTATTTTTCAATCTTAGTTTTTATTATTTTTTTTAATAATTTTTTAATATTATTTTCCCCTTTCTAGAAATTGTTAGTATTTTAGCAAAACTATAAGTGGTCCTAATATAAGGTAAATTTTAGCATGTCTAGTTTATTGCTATTATTTTCCCATTTTCGTAATGTTAGTAACTCTTTTTTTCAGGTCAATTTAAACCAGTTAATTTTTTTTTTATATTATTTATTAATTGTTTTTTTTTAATTTATTAAATATTTTTTTTTTTTTTCTGTTTTATTTTATTTTATTTATTTTTTTTTAATTTTTAATTTTAATTTTTTTTTTTTTATTTTATTTTATATATTTAATTTTTTTTTTATATTATTTATAGAAACTGCTTTGAGAACTTACCAGTAAGTGAATTCCCTTCTTCTTGGATTAGGGTGGACTTCTTTGAAAGTGTTACTAATATTCTCTTTGCTTCTCATTTTAGAACTGGCCTTCTTTGGATCTTGAGAATTACCAGTAAGTGAATTTCCTTCTTCTTGGATTAGGGTAGGCTTTTTTAAAAATGTTACTAATATTCTCTTTACTTCTCTTTTTTAAGACTAGCCTTCTTTAGATCTTGAAAATTACCGGTAAGTGAGTTCTTTTTGGATTAGGATAGGTTTTTTTGAGAATATTACTAATATTCTCTTTACTTCTCTTTTTTAGAACTAGTCTTTTTAGATCTTGAAAATTATTGGTAAGTGAGTTCCCTTCTTCTTGGGTTGAGTGAGCTTCTTTAAGAATGTTACTAACATTTTTTTTTCCTTCTCTTTTTTAAGACTGGTCTTTCTTTGGATCTTGAGAATTACCAGTAAGTTAATTCCTTTCTTTTTGGGTTAGGTAGGCTTCTTTAAGAATGTTACTAATATTCTATTTTTTGCTGTTTTTTTTTTAGGACTGGCCTTTCTTTGGATCTTGGAAATTACCAGTGAGTTAATTCTCTTCTTCTTGGATTGAATAAGCTTTTTGAAAATGTTACTAACATTCTTTTTTTCTTCTCTTTTTTTAGGATTGGCTTTCTTTAGATCTTGAGAATTATTAGTGAGTTAATTCCCTTCTTCTTAGATTAGGTAGGCTTCTTTGAAAACATTATTAATGTTCTTTTTTCCTTCTCTTTTTTTAGGACCAGCCTTTCTTTAGATCTTAAAAATTACCAGTGAGTTATATTCCTTCTTTTTGGATTGGGTGGGCTTTTTTGAGAACATTACTAATGTTCTTTGTTGCTTCTTTTTTTTAGGACTAGCTTTCTTTGAATCTTGAAAACTTACTGGTAAATGAATTAATTCCTTCTTTTTGTTTTTCTTGGATTGGATAGACTTCTTTGAGAATGTTTACTAACGTTCTTACTGATAACATAAATCTGAAATTCTAAAACTTAGTAAAAAACTATTTTTAAGAAAAAATAATTTTTTTTTATTTTTAATGCTTTTTTTAAAATAATTAATTTTGTTTTATTTTTTTTTTATGATTTTGATTTAAATAAAATAATATATAAAATTTAAATATAATATAATTTAAAATGAATTTTTTTTTTATTTAAATATTTATAAGTTAATTAAATTTTGACTCTAACTTGATTTAAACTTGACTCAACTTGAATAAATTCAAATAAAAATCAAGTTGAGTTAAATTCAAGTCAAGTCAAATTATGTTGAGTTTAAAATTTATATAATTCGAATTAAATCAAATTGAAAGATTTTATAAAATAAACTTGATTTGAAAAAAATGAGTCAAATGAACTCTATCAACTCAAGGTCAACTTACAGGTCTATTTATATAAAATTGTTAACTATACTTTCAATAAGTACATATAATGAAAATAATATAAGTAATGAAAATAAGACTATATAATATTTATATTAAAATGTAAACTATTTGATACGTATATTATAAAGTTGACCAAACAATACAGTTCTTAGTGAAAAGAATGGCAGTAAAAATACTGAATTTTTTTTGCTATAGCATTACCATTTTCCATTATTTATATTACTAAATTGAATAATAAATGTGTTATATAGTTAAAATTAGATCTTCCAATAAGGATATGGTCCAAATTGCATCTCAAAAGATGTTTAAATGAACTTTAAAAAATATCATCCAGGATAAGTCTTCCTTGATCTTCATATAGCCCAGACTTTGAATCTTATTGAAAATATATGGGCAATTTTATAAGAAAAGGTAGAGATAAAGATTAAGGATTAGTGCAAAAAAATAAAATAATTTTTACAATATTTTTCTCAATAAAATCTGACAGAGTTAGAATAATCTACATTATGAAACGCTTACTTAGATACTTTAATAATGTGCTAAACTAGACTAAAACATAAATTAGTGTAGAAGGAAATCACATAAAATATTAATCAAATAATAAAAAATATTGTATTAGTATTAGTCTTTTAAATAAATAAAAAATTTTGCATTTTAAAATTTAAGTTTATATGTACTGTTTAAAAATATGTCCGTCATTCTTTTTGTCAGGGACTGTACATGTATTACATGTTTAACATGTATCACTTTCATGATATTTGGCATAGTCAAAGATTATTTGAGACACAGTATAATCTGCAGCTAACAACGGAATATTATTATTATTATTTTATATCTGTTTAAATCTATTTAAAACAACTTAATTTTTTAATTAGTAATTATTAGTATGATAAAAAAATGTAATTATGAAAATATATAAAAAATTTGATTGCCGCAGCTCAAAGTGATAGAATCCAAAATTTATAAGCTAAAAAAATACTTTCAGAAAAGATCTATGCTGAAACAAATACTTAAAAATGCATTGTTGCAATTTGAAGTTATCAATAAAAAAAAAATACCTTTTAATTAAAATGAAATATTTTATTTTAGTTATTAATACTGATTTTCACAGTACGTGACCATTGTAACCAAATTAAATTTTTTGAAAATTCCCAAATCAATTGTTCAATCATTTGGATGTCAATTTATATTTGAAGAAAATACTAGAAATATTCTTTAATTTTTATTCAGATAGTTTTATAAGAAAAAACTGAATCAAAGCTATTTGCTAATTTTTTTTTATTAATTAAATGAGTAAATAAAAGATTTTAAGATGTGAGAATTCTTCTTTCCTAAGTATTTATTAATAGTTTTGTAATATAATCTATAAAATATGATGGTCAAAAAACATCTGAAAATGTCTGATTATCTTAAGTATAATCTACAGTATCAATCTATATATAGAAGTGCTAATATATGCATATGATATATATAGTCACATATAGATTATGATCTAAGAAAATAGAGTTCTGAAACTTTTCAAATAAAATTAAGATTTTTACTTTATTATAATATATAGTATATAAACTTTAATCAATTAAAATTTTATTATATATTAACTTAATATCAAGAATGAGTGATCTGCATTTTAATTTTTTTTATAATAAATCTAAAAATAGATTTAGGAAATGATCAACATGATTAACATTTTAAATTGGAAATGATCGACATAATTATTGTTAATAATCTAATAATCTTATTTTTTATTATAATTTGCAGGTTTTGCACAATATATATTTTTGTATGATTTATTTAC